AAAAAAACCCAAAAACAAAAAAACTGATTATGCCACCATTGAAGTGATTTCAACTCCAGAAAGCCAAAGACTAGTCTAGTGATTTTTAACTAATCTGGTGGCTCTTATAACACTAGGAATGTAAATCACAATCACTTGGAGAGCATTTTCAAAATATACAAATGTGTGCCTCACCTCATATCAGTCGATAACAATTAATTCCTGAACAGGGCAAAGACAAATCCTTCTAGCCACAATGCCTCTTAGAATAGTTGTGAACCTTGACTCCATTTCACATCTATGATGACAACTACCACCTATAAGCAGAATGACTTCAGTTCATGGCCCAAACTGATCCAGTTTAGTTGTCAACCTTGCAATTTTCTATGAGACTAAAATGATTTAGGCAAAATTAAGCAACAAACAACATACCTAAACAACTAATCAGAAAAAAGTACATTTGAGCTCTAAAGAAAGTAAGAGTTGAGATTCTAAACAACGGCTTTGAATTGCTGCCTCACTATTTAGTCCAACAAATATGAACTGAGGGCCTACAAAGTGCCAGGATGCCGATAGCACAGAGTGCCATGGGAACATGAGGAAAGGCATCTAACCAGTCAGTGGGGTAATACTTTCTACAGGAAGTGACACCTATTTATAAAACTCAGGGGAAAACAGCTCCTTGAGAGAAGCTTAATATCTGATTTCCAGTCACAAGTAGTTGAAAGCAGTGGCTTTTAAACTGTGCTTCCCAAACCAAGATTTGAGTAGATGGAGAATTGGACCAAATAAACAGACAGGTCAGGTGCTCCTTCTTTCTCTGCCATCTAAACTCATATTCTCCATTTTATCTATTTTATACCTTGGCTCTTTCAGAAAATATTTTATTGAAGAATATTGGCAATTAAAAACAATTAGAGGGGTGGCTGGACATTCCAGTGATTAATATTTCACAATAGGCACTGGGCTAAGCAATTTAAGACATTATCTCATTTATCCTTCTCACCCTGTGAAATGGGTATCATTAACTCTCCCACACCTTTTTTAACAGAAAATTTAAATATCTTGCCCCAAATCACACAGCTATCCATATTGCAGAACTTGGATTTGAACTCAGCTTTAATTCTGACTTTAAAATAGTGCTCTTTCTTTTGTGCGTGTATCTGTCCAGTTTTCCCAACACAACTCATTGAAGACACTGTCTACCCTGTTGTATACCCTTGCCTCCTTTGTCATAGATTAATTTACCATATAACCAAGGATTTATTTCTGGGCTCTATATTCTATTTCATTTATTTATATATCTGTTTTTATGCCAGTACCATACTGTTTTGATTACTGTAGCTTTGTAGTATAGTTGGAAATCAGGGAGTGTGATACCTCCCACTGTTCTTTCACAGGATGTCTTTGGCTATTCAGGGACTTTTGTGATTCCACATCAAGTTTAGGAATAATTGTTTTCATTCTCAAAAGAACACCATTGGTATTTTAATAAGGATTGCACTGAATTTGTCTATTGCTTTAGGTAGTAAGGACACTTTAACAATATTAATCCTTCCAACCCATGAGCATAGGGTAACCTTCCATTTATTTGCATCCTCTTCAGTTTCCTTCTTCACTGTCTTATAGTTTTCTGAGTACGGGTCTTTCACCTCATTGGTTAAATGTATCCCTAGGTATTTGATGTTTCTTGATGCAACTGTAAATGGGATTGTTTTCTTAATTTCTCCTGATGATTTGTTGTTGGTGTTTAGACAACAGATTTCTGTACATTGATTTTGAATCCACAACTTTGCTGAATTCATTTATTATTCTCAGGTTTTTTTTGGTGAAATCTTTAGGGTTTTCTATATATAGTACCATGTCATCAGCAAATAGTGAGTTTTACTTCTCCCTTTCTAATTTGGGTGCCTTTTATTTCTTTCTCTTGTCTGATTGTTGTGGCTAGTATTTTCAATTCTATGTTGAATAGGAGTAGTGATAGTGGGTATCCCTCTCTTATTTCTGGTCTTAGAGAAAAAGGATCCCCCCAAAATGAAACTGGACCACTTTCTTATACCATATACAAAAATAAATACAAAATGGATTAAAGACTAAAATCTAAGACCTGAAAACATAAAAATCCTAGAAGAAAACGTAGACAGTAAACTCTTTCACATCAGTCTTAGCAATATCTCTTTGGATATGTCTCTGTGGGCAAAGGAAATAAAAGAAAAAATAAACAAATGGGACTACATCAAACTAAAAAGTTTTTGCACAGTGAAGGAAACCATCAACAATATGAAAAGACAACATACTGAATGGGAGAAGATATTCACAAATGATATATGTGATAAGGGGTTAATATCTAAATTATGTAAGGAACTCATACAAGTTAACTTCAAAAAACCAAACAATCCAATTTAAAACAATGGGCAGAGGACCTGAATAGAGATTAATCCAAAAAGGACATACAGATGGCCAACGAATATATTAAAAGATGCTCAACATTACTAATTATCTGGGAAATACAAATTAAAACAACAATGAGATGCCAAATAACACCTG